AAAAAAAGTTATTTCTACTTCTTTCAATTAATGGTTATTGTAGAAAAAGAAAGAAAGAAGGCAACTGTTGTATTATCTTCACCTTAGACATTCTTAAAAGAAGTTTTGGCTTTTTACTATTCTAGATTTATTCTAGATTTCAGTGTTTGCACTAGCATCTGGCTGTGTATTTAGGGCTGAGGGAGAATATGAATGATTTCTTCTCCTTTCAGACTTGGAAGTAGTTGATAGTTAAGTGGGAACAAGCTAGTCATCTGACGCTTGTATTTGATTGCTGGATGGGAGGTTTGATTTTTGAGGTGTAAATACCTTTTACAGTGTAGGCTTAAACACGAGAATTTAGAGCAACAGTTCTCTCCCCAGAGATTTTTTTTTAAGTTTATTTATTTTTGAGAGAGAGAGAGAGAGAGAGAGAGAGAGCGAGAGCACAAGTGAGGGAGGGGCAGAGAGAGAGGGAGACACAGAAGCAGGCTCCAGGCTCTGAGCTGTCAGCGTAGGGCCTGACGCAGGGCTCAAACCCACAAACTATGAGATCATGACCGGAGCTGAAGTCAGATGCTTAACTGACTGAGCCACCCAGGCACCCCCTTCCCCCAGAGATTTCAATGTAGTGGGTCTGGGGTGCTACCCTGGTAATGGTTTTGTTGATTTTGGTGGGGTGAGGGGTGGGGGGACAATCTTGAACTTAGAGAAAAGTTGCAAGTATGTTAAAAACAACAACACTTTTCCTGAATCATTTAGGAAAAATTACTATCCCATTGTCCCACCACCTGCATCCCTTTCCCCTATACTTTAGTGTATTTTTTAAAAAAACCAAGAACATTCCCCTGTATATAACCACAAAAACAACCATCAAAACAAAACAAAACACTGATACATTACTACCATTTAATCTGTAGCCCCTACTCGGGATTTGATACCCCAGTAATGGCCTTTATAGCAAAAGGATCACACTTTGCATTTGGTTATTATGTCTTGTTGGTCTCCTTCCGTTTCCTTGATTCAGTGATCTTGAAACTTTTGAAGATTGCAGAACATTTGGCAAAATGCCTCTCAACTTGAGGTTCTCTGACATTTCATCATGATGATATTCAGATTGTACATATTTGAAAAGAATATCATAGAAGAAATTCTGTGTTCTCAGAGTATCTAATCACGTAACTCATGATTTCAATTTATTCCATTATGATGATGTTCATGTATTTTACTTGATTAAGGTGATGTCTGCCAGGCTTCTCCTCTGTGTAATTATTCTTTTCTCCTTTTTGATTAGTAAGTATTTTTACGGGGAGACACTTTCAAACTAAGTGAATATTCCATTCCTTTCACCTTTAACTTATATACTTATTTCTATCTGGATGAACTCATGTTTTCCTGTTGTATACAATGACTTAAGATTTCTTACCATCATTATTTTTATGCTCATATTGCCCCAGGTTTAGCTTGTAGGAACCCCTTCACATTGGTATCTGCAAGCATTTGACATGCCACATCATTTGTTGAACTTTTCCTTGCTTCTGGGCAACAAGCATTCCTCTTTCATTTTGTACTTTCTTTCTTCTAGCCCCAAATTAGCTTTTTTTTTTTTTTTCAACTTTTTTTAAATTTATTTGTGGGACAGAGAGAGACAGAGCATGAACGGGGGAGGGGCAGAGAGAGAGGGAGACACAGAATCGGAAACAGGCTCCAGGCTCTGAGCCATCAGCCCAGAGCCTGACGCGGGGCTCGAACCCTCGGACCGCGAGATCGTGACCTGGATGAAGTCGGACGCTTAACCGACTGCGCCACCCAGGCGCCCCCCAAATTAGCTTTTTTTTAAAAAAGAACTCTAGTTCTTTTAGTTAAGAATGGTATTTAGAAGCCAGAGTCTGGGTACTAGTTGTGTTCATTGCTATTTGGGTTGCTTGTTCCCAAGCCCTCTCAGTAATAGAGCTAAGGGGAGAGAGAGAGAGAGAGCGAGCGAGCACGTGTGCTTGCATACATGAAGGAATATACACACATGTGGGCTCACAAAATTATATCCATGTTTATTGTTATGTCTGTCTCTATATATTAAAAACCATGAGTTGATGCCAATAGCTAATTCTGATCCAGGCCCACAGGACTCTTTTGAGACTTTTCCCTTTCCATTTTGGTAACTACCTTTTTCAACAGTGATAAACCTGATTGTCATTATCATTAATGTATTTATTTATTGATCAGTCCCTCTGTATGTAACCATTACCTTCCCCACGTGGGTACCTGCTTCACCTTCTTGGGCTCTGGTTCAGCATGGGGATATTTTAAAGCTCCCCAAAGATGCTAATGTGCAGCCAAGATAGAGCACAACTGATTTAGAAGAAAGATGAACTTGGGGTGTCTAGATGGTTCAGTCAGTTGAGTGTCCCACTTCGGCTCAGGTCATGATCTCGCGGTTCGTGAGTTCAAGCCCCACGTCAAGCCCTGTGCTGACATCTCAGAGCCTGGAGCTTGCTTTAGATTCTGTGTCTCTTTCTCTCTCTGCCCCTCCCCTCCCATGCTCTGTCTCTCTCTCTCTCTCAAAAATAAACAAACATTTAAAAGGAAGAAGAAAGGTGAACTCTGTACTTTTTGATTCATTATTAAATGAATGGCAGGTTTGTAAGTCAGGTCTGGTTTGGGAAAATAAATTGTTCCTAAGGAAGTGAAATCTAAAGAGAAAACTCAATTCTACCAATATAAGCAGTAAAAGATCAGGGTGAAAGCACAGCCTGTCTCCTGGAAAGCTTTGAAAAATATTTGTTTTGGAAGTAAATCTGCTTGTAGTGAACATGAATTTCAGTTCCTTTCTCTGAATTACCTGTTTATAGGAAAAAATACTTGAAAAGGTTAGTTGTTTTTAAGAATGTGTTTCATTAAAGACTTACTTTTTTTTTTTTACATTGCATTTTTAAAATAAACTTTGTAGAATAGACCTAGAAATTGCACTTCACTGCTTTTTAGAGCATCGAATATTTAACCAGATTTTTAGACTGTGGTTGCTCTTTTTCTGTAGTCTGTTGCACTGTAAAATATAGGCACCAAATCACAGTAACTGGGTCATGAGGAACGCCATCTTCTTCCACTTGGAGCCAGAGGAAGCAAGAGGCTCCGGGAGCCAAATACAACAGGATCTGTGGCCAGCCTACCTTAGATGGTCAACATCCATCTTGCCAATTTTCATAAAGCCGTGTTCTTAAAGTAGTGCAGTGCTGTAAGTGGATTTTCACCAAGAGCTTTACCCTGAGACTGATGTGCACACATTCTGACTCCAGAGAAATCCAGTATTCAACCTAAGGGAATTAAAATAAAATCTCTTCCTTGTTTGTGTTTTTATTTTTATTTTTTTAAATATTTATTTATTTTTGAGAGAGCGTGAGCAGGGGAGGGGCAGAGAGAGAGGGAAACAGAGGATCTGAAGCAGGCTCTGCAGCAGCAAGCCCCATGCAGGGCTCAAACTCACGAACCACGAGATCATGACCTGAGCTGAAGTCGGATGCTTAACCGATGGAGCCACCCAGGCGCCCCCTTGGTTATATTTTTTAAAGTTTTCATTGAAGTTACCTTCGGAGTGTGAATTGTGCACATTAGGATTTTGTATATTTATGCCAGAGGCACAGAAGGAGAAAGGCCAATGTTTGTCAATGTGAACAGAACCACAGAAAGCTCGATACATGGGTAAAACACCTATTTTGTTGTCGTTGTTGTTTAGTTCTTGTTTTCTATAAATAAGCATTACTTATCTGTTGACGAGAGCCAACTTCATTGTTGGTCATCAGTTCCTTTGTACAGGCTGAGTGGTTACATTCCCCAAAAGTGATTCCTTCCAGAACTGTCCCTGTGATTTTTGCCACGTCTGCAAACGATGAGTTTGATGTGTTGGGTCACCTAAAATCACAAGTATCTGTTCAGTATTTGGGGGCACCGGGAACTAGAGCTCTGAGTCTCCTTCCAGCTCTGAAATTCAGGACGCGTGGCATCAGGATTTCCTGCCTTGAGCTCTGAAGTAACAGCAGTAGTTTTGCAATGCATTCTTCCTATTTGATACATAGAGAGTGAAAGTTGGCAGCTTACCATATGCATTATATTCAAATATATATTAGAATGTTCCATAAGAGAATAAGTATTACTTTCTGAATGTACTTTTCAGATGTGAGGCATTACATTATATTAATTTCTTAACATTCCAGCACATTTCTTTAACTAGAATCTTTAGTATTACGTATGACTTTTGTTCTAATTGAGGGCAGCAAAACCTGGTTGTCTCAATTCAGGTGTTCAGCAAGATGCAACTGTGAAGTCACTTGGTGAGGAATACATGGATTTATAGGACACATGGTACCTGCCTTAAAAGCACAAGTAGAGAACATGTAAAACACACAATATTAATAATATAGAAGAAAAATACAGAATATAGAACATAGAATTTTATAGTCACCGACCTGATGATGTCAGGGGAGAATACCTAAATTGTGATAGATATTTGTGTACCATAAGTGAATTTATATATTCTGTATTATTTGTGAAGAATTTTTGCCTTTCATAAAATATATTCCTTTTTCTTTGACATTATTAATGCTGTATTTTATGTGTTTTCTACTTGTACTTTTAAGACCAAGTACTAAGAGTTCTATAAATCTATGGAATCCAGGAATATCTCCAGAACCAACTGGATGTTACCACATTCAAATCCGGGTTTTTGCTGAGTGGAAATACGTGTGTGTGTGTGTGTGTTCTCTTAGGAGGATATTGTAAAGCTCACTTTAGTGGGCTTCTTTGAAACCGAACTTGAAGCCCTACTTTGCAGAAAAGATAACAAACCAAAATATGGGGATAACTGAATGTGGTGAGTTTTATGCATACTCTTAGTTTAAGTAAAATACCGTGTTCTGCTCAGTCACAGAGATGGCATGTTTTGCATACCGTCTACAAGCATTGAATTTGCTACACAAATAGACTGTGAATATAAATGTTAACCTTCTGGTGTGACATTACTTTAACAGAGAGAAGGAGCAAGAAAGGGAAGAACAGTTAATGGAAGACAAGAAAAGGAAGAAAGAGGATAAAAAGAAAAAAGAAGCCACTCAGAAGGTGAGTTTAATGACTTAAGTCTGTCTTTACATCCACCAAGCATCTAGAATAAGTAACTGCCTTGGGTGGGATACCTGACATCTTAATAATGCTGCTTACTTTGTTCACTTGGAAGTTTTACGATTAGAAAGTGGGAGTTAAAGACGTACATTTGTCACCACAGAATACTCAATAATGCTGCAGCTGATTTAATGAGAACACCAGTATACAGTGTGAAGAAAGGCAAGTGAGTCCCTGCCACTTAATTTCTTGTCGAATGTCCTTACTCGTATCACAGTTAATCTCCATTTTCTTAGGTCAGCTTATAAACTAGCTTTTCTTTTTTTTTTTTTTTTTTT